ATGATGGCAGTGTATTGGGAAAGCAATTGGAAAAGGTCTTAGCTCTGCACTCAGCAGATGTCATCCTCAGCACAGTAGAGAATTTCTGTGTGTTAGACAGTCCAATAAAGGTGACACAAAAAAAGGACACAGGTGCTATGGATCCACTGACTGAACCTCACTGACATAGTCATTTAAACAAGAGGATTTCAGGAGTTGAAGGATATCACAGAAAAAAATGTTGAATGAAATGGAAACCACAGAAATGGATGGAGAAAGTGGCAGCTGTGTACATGGCTCCAGAAATGACCCCACTTTTCCAGATGCCTAAGACAATGTGGACACATTTGCTGACATCCGTGATGCATTCATAGCACAGTGGAAGGCAGATGGCCACTTAGCGATCATAGGACATGTCACCATCAGCATGGACATTTCAGCAGAACCACAGACAATGAAAGCAAAACACTGCACTATCCATTCCCTGAGGGAAATGTAGCCACTTTGCATGAAAGAGTTGTAAATGGACCTTGGCAGAGTCACAGAAATGTAGCTCAGATGCAGGCAGGAGAGATGGCCTTTTCAATCAAAGGTTAGGAAAAATGTAAGTATATAATAGAACAAATAAATTGCATTGTTTAAATATATAATAGGGTTAATAGAATATGGAGTAATGGCTCCTATTTATATAAAAAGCTCTATACAGTTCAAACACTCAAATTTACAAATGTTTCTTAGCCACCAATTCATTTTCATTCATCATTCTATCTATTCATCGAGCACTCCAACCACAGAGTTTCATTAGTGGAATTTTATGATAATATTAGGAATTATTAATAGTGGTATTTTATATATGAGAGCAAAAGTACCATTCTTTTTTTAAAAGAATTTTGGATTAACTGTATTTTTTTAAAGATTTATTTTTTATACAAGAACTGGGGTACAGGTCAGAGGCATGGGAGGGTGAGAGGATTCACCAGAGACAGAGTGAGGAGCAGAATGGCAGACAGACCGAAATACACTGCTGAGGGGAGCAGCGGGCCAGACAGGAGAGGTCTGCCAAACCATGTGGTATCTCTAGCCAACCAGGAATTGAACCGGCGCTGCAGAGGCTGCAGACAGCTTCACAGTACTGCGCTCAACCTGCTGTACCACTGGGAGGCCCAAAAGTACCATTCTTTACTGTCAAGGTTATTTTCCCCATAAATAAAAATATGAAATACAATTGAATAGTACCTATGTAATAATTATATATATAAATAAACATTGTCATTAAATAAAATAACATAAAATAATGAAAAAAATGTTAATCTCCCAAAAGAAATAGGAAACTACAGCCTTTTTTTAAAAGATTTATTTATTTATGCATACAAGAACTGGGTTAGAGACCAGAGGTGTGGGGGGTGAGAGGATTCACCAGAGTCAGAGTGGGGAACAGAACAGGTGGGTTGACTAAAATGCACTGCTGAGGGGAGCAGTGGACGGGTCAGGAGAAGTCTGCGGCACCATGTGGGTAGCTCCAGAGCCAGGGATTGAAATCCTGCTGCACTGGCTGTGGACAGCCTCATAGGTTGCATCTTAACCCCTTTCACCACCAGGGAGGCCTGGAAACTACAGACTTTCCCTAGGATAATTGTTTAAGTAAATAATATAACTGATGCAACAAGAAAATATTACTTATTCTTAGTTAAATAAAATGTAGACCAATGAATTGATACTATTTTGTGTTCAACACATTAGTCAATAATAAAGAAAAAATCTCAGTTCTGTTATGAAGAAAGGTATCTAGTAGTAACATGTATCTGAAGAAGTGTGTCCTAGATCCCTAAATTGTGTAAATGTTACAAACCACATTACTACAGTAAAATTAAATAAATAAATAATAAATATGGTGCTTATATGATAAAGTAGTCATAGAATAAACTTAAAACATGAAGGCAATATGTTCGAATTTTAGTACATATTTTCCACAAACAGAAAATTATTTAGCAGAGATCCTAAATTATTAGCAATTAAACCATTTAGCATGATATATATATATGAGTTTAATAAATTAATTTGATAACTGCAGTTAGAAATTAGTAATTCATCCTGAAATCCATGGTGTACCTCCAATGATTCACTGAGAAGCTGAGGGAGATGAATGCTTCTAGCTTCTGTGGTGATATATGCAAATTAATTGGGAAATTATTTAAGTCTGAGCTGGATGAGGAGTTGGCACAGATGAGACTGTCCCTTGCACCCACAAGTAAACTTATTTAAAAATTGGATCAGTCTTATTGTGTGTGTGTGTGTGTGTATGTGTGTGTATGTGAATGTCTGGGTGTGGTCCACTGGAGTCTTAAAATGCCTTTAAATTAACCCTGGCAATTTTATATCTAGGCTGCAATGAAGAGATACTTTGAAGATGACACCAGATGTTTCTAGAGATTGTAATGGCGCACCTACTCATCAAGGCAGACAAGGTATATTGAACCTCCAGAAGTTTCCATTTCTAATGTTGCTTATTTTTTGTTAAGAAAAACAAAAAAAGTCTCCATTTCACAAGCATGGAAGAATTGCTTCACTTACCCAAAACTATTTTGATTTACCCAAAAGTAAAAGTAAACTTGCACTATTTCAGTGTCCACAAATTATTTTCTATACTATACGATGATATATTCAAAATCTAAGATCTCTATTACAGTTTGGGATCTCATGAATATTTCTGAAAAGTAATGTTTTGTGTTTAGGTGGATATAATACTTCTAAAACATAACAAAAGTCATTGATAACTGTATTGTGATCTATTTAATGATATTTGCATGTTCTTTCATTATAACTCCTTTTCTCTGTAATATGAAAATATTGACCATCCACTTGTCCATTCTAGAATTTCTTGAATTTCCTCTAGCTCAGAATCAATCAGAAGACCTGATTACTGGTTATAAGAGAAGGATGGTCTCTACTTATGTTCTTCTAGTCTATGTTTTGTTTTAATTTTTAATTTTATGGATAGGAAAATGTGATTATTTCACATGATTAAAATATCTGATTCATTCTTCATTTTTAAATTTTTCTACCACATTTCAGCAATTTATCTGTGACCTCTGATTTAGAAAGCATTGCCTATCTCTTATGAATCATAGAATAATATGAGTACAAGGAATACTGACAGTATCATACTATCACATGCTCATGCTGCATTATTTCCATGATGTTATCTAAAAAAAAAAAAAAAAGCATTACTAAGGAGTTTGGAATTATACTCCACAAAATGTTTCTGGGATGGAAGGGAATTTACAATTTTCCCTAACTGATCCCTAAAATCCACTGAACTAATCATAGCTCATATACAGTATCTCATTGTTTACAAGATAAAGAACAGTGACTGGTTTTCTCACCTACTCAAAACCAGTAACTTAGGGCTTTCATTTTTCTGTGTAATCACCTTTTTAGAACCTAAGGAAACTCACCAGAACCCATTCAAGAACTTCTATCTGCTACAGAAGATGTTGTCAGTGAGCAGCTAACATTTAACTCAAAGTTGACTTCTGAATTCAACAACATTCATAAAAGTGTGAACTTTGAAGAAAAAGTAAGTCCATTTCAATCCTCCTTTGGCCTCTGGAGGTTAGACTCTGCAATCTCTTAGGCATGAGCAAAATGTCTTGTGTGGGTATTTGGTGTTCTGGGTAATACCCTGGGACAAAAACTTGCAATTACTAAAATTCTTTGAGTTTCTAGTAATATCAAAGCTAATAATATGAGAATAACAAAATCTAAGTTACCTCTTCTTCATGTACAAAGGGGATATGGTTTCCAAAATATGAATGTGTTCTCATTTAAATTGAAAAGGAGAATAAATCCTTTTTGTTTGTTGTCCTGAATAAAGCAAAAATACATATACTACTTTCACTATGATGAAGTGTGTTCTCTCTACACCTAATTTGTTGAGATTTTTATCAAAAGTATTAAATTTTGCCATGTTTTACTCTTACTAAGATGTTTGACTCATCTCTTATTGAGATGTTCATTTTTTAAGAATTTTCTTTTTGTTCAACTTCTTTACTGATTATTCTGTTCATATTTTCAATTTACTCATAATCAATCATGATATTTTACAGGATTCTAGAAATATATCTATTTCCACAAGGTTAATAAATTTGTTGAAAAAGCAAAAATCAAAAAAAATGGGACTATATCAAACTAAACAGTTTCTGCACAGTGAAAGGAAAATCTTTGGAGTAAAAAGGCACCTACTGAATAGGAGAAGCCATTTCCAAATCTTATATCACACAAGGGATTAATATCTAAAACAAATAATCAGTTCATACAATTCCTTAAAAAATATTAAAAATGGCCAAAGGATCTGAATAAGCTCTTTGCCACAGAACAGAGTCAATAGACTCATGAGAAGATATTCAGCTCTCACACCTGTGAGAAGAGCTGTTATCCAGAAGAAAAGAAACAGCAGGTGCTGGAGAAGAGGTGGAAAAAAGGGAATCTTCTTCCTGTGGGAACTGGTGTAACTACCACAGAAAACAAAAAAACTGTTTGCTTAAAAAAATTAAAAAATAGGTCATTGTGTAATCAGGTACTTCCACTTGGCTTTTACTCAAAGAAGGTGAAACCACTGTGTTGAAAAGATACATGCATTTTCATTTCATTGCAGCACAATTTACAACAATTAGGAAGTGAAACAACTTAGGTTCCCATCAATGGATGATAACTAAGATGATACATCTGTATACACTAAACAACAGTACAAGATACGTTTTTAAGAGGAGTTCAAAGAGAGAGTTTATCCAGAGATTATACTTGTTTGTCTTTTCAGTTTCTTTCACTATTTTTTTTTCTCAGAGTTTATCCAGAGCTATTTAAATGTTATTCTCAGGATTGTGTTCAGTCTTTTCAGTCTTGTTTCTTTCACAAGATGGCTATTTTTTTTTTAATCTCTCTTTTTTAAGTCAACAAGTTTCCTAATATATTTTGGGCTTGTCTCACAACCAAGAATTAATAGATGTGCCTCAACAAAAGAGTCAGGCTTGTCTTCTTTGGAAAACCTTTCTTAAAGCTGCCTTCATGGCTTGATTTCTCAGGCTGTAGATCATTGGGTTGAATGTTGGGGGCACAATTGTGTACATAATAGTCAGCAAAATGTCCAGTGCACTTGGAGAGGCAGAAGGTGGCTTGAGAAACTCAAATACACTGGTTGTACTAAACAATATGACCACAGCAAGGTGGGGAAGGCAAGTGGAAAAGGCCTTAGCTCTGCCCTCAGCAGATGGCATCCTCAGCACAGTGGAGAATATCTTTGTGTAGGACACTCCAATAAAGGCAATGCAAAGAAAGGCCACTAGAGACAAGAAGACAGTGACCCCCACCTCTCTGATGTACTCATTAGAACAGGAGAGTTTCAGGAGTTGGGGGATGTCGCAGAAGTACTGGTGAATGATATGGGAACCACAGAAGTGTATCGAGAAAGTGGCAGTTGTGTGCATGACTCCAGAAATGACCCCACTGATCCAGACGCCAAAGACACTGTGAACACATTTGCTGACATCCATGATGATCTCGTAGCGCAGTGGAAAGCAAATGGCAATGTAGCGATCGTAAGACATCACTGTGAGCATGGACAGCTCAGCAAAACCACAGAGAATGAAAACAAAACACTGCACTATGCATTCCCAGAGGGAAATGTAGCCATTCTGCATGAAAGAGTTATAAATGTACCTTGGCACAGTCACAGAAATGTAGCACAGATCCAGTAAGGAGAGGTGTTTCAGGAAGAAAAACATAGGTGACTGGAGACTATTGTCCATGGAAGTTGTGGTGATAATGAGGATGTTGCCAGTTAAAGTCACAAAGTATATGACTAAGAACAGAGAAGCAAGTAAGATTTCTACCTCAGGTTTGGCAGAAAATCCCATCAGAAGAAACCCACTCATTGTGAAATTAGCCATAGTCCTTCTTAATCTCCGAGTAATGTTGACTGCAAGAAAATATGGCAGCCATTGTCAATTACTGTTATTTGATCTCTAACCCTTTTGAACTCAATGAAGTGAGGCATGAAATCACTGGCAATTACTTCATTATTATAAATGTATAAATAGTTCTATGGACTAGTAATTTTGTGCAGTTTTCAATGACTTTGAGTCATTCATGGAAACCTAGGTCAAAAAGATTATAAATTTCATTATTTCCTTCCATCAAATGAAAGAAAAAATAATGTATATATTAAATTTCAAAAAATATATTTTAAAATATAATTGTATTAATTTCAAAATGGACCATTTACTTTTGATTCATACTGAAGATTTATCTAGTTCATATATTCACACCTATGTTTCTTAGCTGCCTATTTTTTCATTAATCATTCTATCTATTCATGTTCCACACTGAATACCATGGTTTTATTATTGCAATGTAATATCTTAACTTTATATATGAGGAAAAATCTTATGTTTTGTCTTCTAATTAAACATTATTTTCTCAATAGTTACAATTATGACATACCAAACTGGTAGTACCTATTAATTACCTAGTTATGACATAAAAATCACTTATTAACATAAAATATCAGAAAAAATGATCAGAAAAATAGTGTTTTCCAGAAAGGAAAGATTTGAACAGAGCTTCAACATGTATATTTTAAAAGAATGATATGATTCATATACGTAAATATATCATTTATTCTAAACTTTAATTAAAACAATTATGAAATAAAATCCTGTACATAACAAATTAGTAAATAATCAAAAATAACATAATCAGTAGAATATACTATGATGAAAGTTATCTGGTAATATACATCTGAGGAGGTGTCATTATAGACCCTTATATTAGGTACAGTCTTTTTTTTTTTTTAAGGTTTATTTTTTATTTTTTTATGCAAGAACCCGGGTACAGGCCAGATGCACAGGAAGGTGAGAGGATTCACCAGAGACAGAGCAGAGAACAGAATAGTCAGCCTGATGAAATACTCTGCTGAGGGGAGCAGCAGGCACGACAGGAGAGGTCCTTCACGCCATGTGGGACCCTCTCCGACCGGCTGGGATAGAACTGGCGCTGCTGAGGCTGTGGACAGCTTCATGGCGCAATGCTCAATGGCCTGAGCCACTGGGGAGGCCCATATCAGGTACAGTCTTACAAGCAGATGTTACTTTAATAAAATATTATTTATTAAAATAATAATGAAAATGATTTACTCAAAATATAAAGACATAAGTAAGCTTAGTACAAGCAAGTGGTAGGATCACATATGTATATTCTTTCTGGAAAAGAACAAATTATTATTTTTTATATATTATTTCAAGACTTTGTATTTCAGTTTATCTGCCCGTTCTTCAACCCACTCTGTCTCTGTGAATCCTTTCACTCCCACATCTCTGGCTTACACCCCAGTTCTTGTATGCATAAATAAATATTTTTTTAAATAACCAAAATCTAAGATCTCTATCATAGTTTTAGGTGAAGATGGATGTTTGTAAACAATGCTTCATGTTTCCATGGATATGTTGCTTTAAAAACATAACCAAAGTCTGTTAAATATATTAACATATTGTTATAGTTAATGATTGTTACTGGCTATTTTACTTTTAAATGTTTTTCTCTATATTTCTAAAAAATTGACCAATGGCATTTCCATTCCAGGATCTTCTGATTTTCTCTATGTCAGAATGTTCCCCTGTGAATTAAAAGAAATCAGAAGACTGATGACTGGTTAGGAAAAGAAGTATGTTTCCTATTTGTTCTTTCAATTGTATGCTTCCTTTTTTTGGTCTACACTGTATGAAATGGAAAATGTGGTGATTTTGCTTTCATTAGATGTTTAATCCATTCTCAATTTATAATTTTTCTGCATATTTGAACAATTTACCTTTAATTTCAGATGTGGAAAACATCTCACATCTCATATATAAATCACTATTATAAGACGTTGTTAAGAAGTGAGAATTGCAATAAATAAAATGCTTCTGGAGAAGAAGTTTACAATGTTCTCTAACATATTCCTAACTTCTATCAAAATAATCATCTCTCAGATATAATATTTCATATTTTACCAGCAATGGCTGTTAAGACATCCACTCAAAAGCAATAACTTTTGGGCTTTCCATTGTTCTGTGTAATTTCTATTTTTAGAACCCAAGGAAACTTACCATGGCATAGTTAAGAATATTTTCCCTCAGCTTAAGGAGAATGTCTCCATGAGCAGCTCAGTCCTGATCTGTGCAATACAGCCACGTTCAAATAAAATAGCTATAGAGAAAAAAAAACAAGTGCACTACAATCTTTCTTTGGCCACTGGTGATTAGACAATTAAATCTCTTTGGCACAAGTAGAGTTTCTTGGTGCTATGGGTATTTAGTGTTCTTGGTAAATACCCTGGGACAAAAATGTGCAATTATAATGATTATTCTTGGAGACTTTTTCCATTAAGTTGGTTTAATGATCAGACATAGAGTTTTGACTTATTTTGTTTATTGAGCCATTATTGAAAAATGATTTATGTTTTGTGATTCTAAAATATCCAACAGAAAGACTTAATTTAATTCTATTAATTGTGTTAGCAAGTCATTAACCTAATTCATAATTAAATAATATTACAATGTCAAGTTGACATGTCCATTAAATACTAAGAGATTACTATCAATGAAGCAACAAAACACCCCCTACTCTTATACCATTAAATGCCAACATAATTTCACTTTGAGTGAGGAAGTAACTAACAACTATTTTTACAAAACCTGGGTTTGTGGTCTCTGATTTGCCTAGTATAAAAGTTTAATTGTGGTGCAGATAACCTCATTGTTTTAAGACCAAATTAGGAGATTTCACACTAGATAACTCATTATCACAAAATATGCCTTATCCCAGACTATTATTTCATAAAATGAACTTTTCAATCTTAACAATGCACTAAATAGAATTTAGATGGTTTCCATGTAAAGTCTCATTCTTATAAAATCTTCCAAGAAATTGTCACTGCATTCAAATTGCTGTTAATAACATCAACAGTATTTTACATTCTTTTTTAATGTCTCAAATCTTTATGTTTCCTTCATTCATACCTTATTGTTTTCTTTTATTGATTTCAGTGAATATTTTCTAATGCAACATTTAAGTTTTTTAATGACTATTGCCTATTTATAAAGCTATTTCCTTCGTGTTTTATTCTTTTCTGTTTTTAATTATAAACCTGTCACCAAATAATTTTTTGGTCAACAATGTTCCAGTAAACAACAACTAGACCCTTGAGGACTCAAGTAACGAGACCCTGCATGTTCAGAAAATCCCTCTGATGGGGCCAACTCTACTCAGGCACCAATTGAATGTGCTTCTCCAACTGCTAGCTATTAATAGGTAGTTTAATTTCTTTCTTTTCAATAACTTTGAAGAACAGCTCATAACTCAGGAAGCTGCAGTTCTCATTAAGATATTTTAGTGTAAAGAATACTAAGCGGGGGGGCCTTCCCTGGTGGTGCAGCATTTGAGCGCTGGGCTGTGAAGCTGTCCACAGCCTCTGCAGTGCTGGTTTGATCCCCGGCCACCAGCGAGAGGGTCCCATATGGCGTGCAGATGTCTCCTGCCATGCCCGCTGCTCCCCTCAGCAGGGTACTTCGTTAGTCTGCCTTTTCTGTTCCCCACTCTGGCTCTGGTGAATTCTCTCACCCTCCGGTGCTTCTGACTGTACCCAGTGCTTGTATAAATAAATAAATAAATCTTAAAAAAAAGAATAAAAATCAGGGCCTCCCCAGTGGTGCAGCGGGTTGAGAGCCACACTGTGAAGCTGTCCATAGCCTCTGCAGTGCAGGTTTGATTTCCAGCCAGTCAAGGAGATACCCACATGGCACAGCAGACCTCACCTGTCTTACCTGCTGCTCTCCTCAGCAGTGTTTTTGGTCTGTCTGCCTGTTCTGCTCCCTGCTCTGTCTCTGGTGAATTCTCTCAACACTCTTGCATCTCTGGCCTGTACCCCAGTTCTTATATAAATAAATGAATCTTCAAAAAAATACAAATCAGAAAATTGGAAGAGATGCTGGTCAAGGTATGGGAAAGCAAGTAGAATTAATTTCCTTTACTCCTTTCACATACCACCTTCCAGAACCATCTAGAGTTCATCAATCTAGAACTTCCTGAATCTTATTGTGTAAGGTTTTACTTTGGGTCACATTACACAGACCAGATTGAATAAATTATGGGATAATTAACTCACCCTCCAATATCTCTCTGGTCTTCAGAGGTCTGGGATGAGGCAAATGTTTCACAATTCTAGCCACATGGTTAGTTTCTCTGATAACCAGATTTCACTAAATGTCCTCAATGAGTCACACCATTAGCATAAATGTTATTTTTTGCAAAGGACTATTTTTGTTATTTATTTATCTATCTATCTATCTATCTATCTATCTATCTATCTATCTATCTATCTATCTATTTATTTATTTATACAAGCACTGGGTACAGTCAGAAGTACGGGAGGGTGAGAGAATTCACCAGAGCCAGAGTGGGGAACAGAATAGGCAGACTGATGAAATACACAGCTAAGGGGAGCAGCAGGCGCGACAGGAGAGGTCTGCTGTGCCATGTGAGACCCTCACCGGCTACCTGGGATCGAACCAGCACTGTAGAGGCTGCGGACAGCTTCACAGTGCTACACTCAACCACCTGTGCCACCAGGGGAGGCCCTTATAATCTTTATAATCCATAATGTGACAGTTATTTTTTTTTACATACACACATATACACACATACATGCAAACACACAATTGGGTTAGTACATAAATTATTTATACATGTTTGTACATAATCTAATGTTACAATAACATACATATATATTCAAGATACAAAAAATATATATAAAGCTCTAAAGATAACAAAATTGCATTTTATTCCACTATGTGTCCACTGTATAATCATTGACAAAAGTAGATTGTATTAACAGAAAACCCAAACAAATACT